AATAATAGAAGTTTGATCAGGGTGGTATTACTAGAAATGATGAGAAGCAATTGGATATAAGGTACATTATCAAGGTAAACCAAAAGGATTTGCTGAGGGGTCAAGTCTGTTGGCCTTTGGAATGAGAAGTGTCATTTACTAAGATAGGGAACATGGGGTGGGACAGTTTGGAGATGGGGAAGTTAATGGTTGGGACTGGTTGAATTTGAGATGCCTATTGATAGCCAAATGGAGATGTTGAATAAAAAGTTGGATGTATGTATGAGTCTAGAGTTCTATGAAAGTTTGGGGCTTAGGTTAAAGCTTTGGATAGGATTTATTTTATATTTCAAACAAACTCAACACCATAATTAACACAGTTACTTTCATTACAGAAAAAACCATATGCCATTGTTGAAAGGAAGCCCAGAATCTTCCCAGTAAGTCTCTAAACTCTTAAACTCTGAATTTTCTTTTAGTCATTATCTGTGCCCCACTTCCACTGATCATTAGACTAAAATGTTCTTTTCCTCTGTCAGTTTTAAGTGTGTGTTCTCTCTCTCTCTCTCTCTCTCTCTCTCTGTGTGTGTGTGTGTGTGTGTGTGTGTGTTAAATTAGTATGAGGTAGCAACTACAGTTGAAAATGGGAAGCGGACACACTAATTTTCAACACTCGTTTTATGACCTGATCTTCCTAAAGTGAGTTGAAGGTATCAACAGATTTTCACTGGTACTGTTTCATGTTGGATGAGGGACTTAGGGCACAAGGCTGAGCAGGCATCTGAGCACAGTGACAGTAACTGCATTTCTATTTTTTTCAAACTCTAATTTTCTTGTGGGTTTTTTTTTTTTTTTTTTGGCCTCATTTTCAAGGTTTGACCTGAAGCTCTCTGTGAATTTAAAATCCATTAATGTGCTTTAAATTTATGCTATTAATATGTAAGGCTTACTAATTTAAAATAAGTCATTTCAGGGGCTAGAGAATGTAGCTCAGTGGTAGAGTGCTTGCCTAGTATGTGTAATGTCCTGGATTTGATTCTCCAATACCACCAAAAAAGGGAAGAATTTTCTAAAATGAGTTAATTCAACATAAAAGACTACTCACTGGTCAGCTGGTATTTTTATTAGCTGTTGGTAAGGTTATTGTTTAGTATAGGAAAATAATTCATGTTATGTTCATGTCCATTTCTAGTCAACAGATAATGAATAAACTATCATTAACTGTAAAATCTAATCATGAAACTCAAAATTCATTGATGTATTTCATAATAAATCATTATCTATTACATCAAGGGAATTTAAGGGAAAATCACCACAATTGGCTAACTGTCCTAGTTGTAACTCTGCTTTAGAAAAGAAGAGGATTTCTTCTTTTACTTTCTTATGCATATTTGATGTGTGTTAGGGCCTATGTTGTTTCAAAATAGTAAAATATCTTGCTGCTTTCATCAGTTGGGTAAGTTATATTTATTCTTATGTTTGCTTATTTTTTATTTTGCCATTTCTATTCAAAAGGTGAGCTGTGTTCAGAAGACCACATCAATGATTCTGTAGCATTTCTTTATTTTGGGGATTTTTTTTTTCTTCCCTTTGTTGTGGTTCTTTACTGTGTCTGTACTGTTGACTCCCTAAGAATCTCCCTTTTTGAGAACCTGAAGACTGCCTATTTGTACATGTTTTAGAATAGGATAGGCAGTAGCAATCTTATAAATTTTTGGCTTAACAAGTTTATTTCTTGTCATCACAAATGAGTGTGGATCAGGCAATCCACCTGAGTCTTATAGCTCTGCCTCTGGAAAAGAGATGTCCAAGATTGTGGTAGGGGAAGAAAGCACTGGATATCTAAGGGGATGATTTTTAAAGTAAAAGTTTGGAAGTAGCTTACATTACTTCTCAAATCCTACTGGCCAGAAAGAATTCCCATTGTCCTTAGTGTCTATGTAGTTTTTAATTTAATTAATTTTTGTTTCTTTTTTGCCATTTCCCTGACTCTCATACATGGTGGAATCTTTGTCACAGTCTGTACTTGCAGTCATCAGATAGCTTTTTACTTTCTTCTCCACATATATACAGCATACTCAGTTCCTAGGGAGAAATCCCAAAGTCCTATTCCATCATGGTAGCCAGCACAAATTCATGATCTCCAGATAATTCTCAGAAGTATCTGTTAGGTTCAGATGTGATTTTTCTTGATTTGAGGATCAGTGAACCCAAAAGGCAAGTATCCCTTTCCTGCCCTAACCACACCCATTGTTCAGTGGTAGATTGTGGGTAGCACAGCAGTCACTAGGTGTGGCGGTTCCAAAATCTTAGAAGTCAGATGCTCCTCTGTGTGCTAAGTTACTTGAATAGGTACTGATTTTGTCTTCTAGATGGAACACCTTTGTTCCTTGTTTTTCCTGGTCCCTGGCTTTAACCATGGGGTTCTTTATTATCAACCTAGACCATCTGTAAATGGATATTGGGAAGCACACCCTCCTTAGCAGTTGTAGAGCCTTTAAAATATGCCTCCTGCTCGCAGGTTGAGTGCCAGAGGTGGTTTTATTTTCAAACATTCATAGGCTCTGTAGTCTGTATGTTTGGCATCTTTGGCCATGCATTTCCCTTAACATTCAGCAAGCATAGAAAAATACCTGGTAGATCTCATCTGTTTGCTTCTATATGGAGGTCATCTGAAATAGAATGGTTCAAAGGCTATTTTCACTTCACTCTGGTCTTTGCCATGGGACTGAATCTCTCTGCTTCCTAAGTTTTAATGGCATCTGTTGCTCAAAATCTGTTAACCATTACTATTTAGGAATTCCAAAGCAATTTGATTTTCTAGTACTACAAGATCCTGAATTTTTAGATTCTCTCCTTTATTTCTCCTCTCAAATCATCCACTTCTTTCCCAAGCCCATGTTTCTTAAAGTACATGCCCACGGCAGCCAGTAGTATCCAAATACATATATATATTCTTTTTTCTGAAAAGAAGTTCTCCTAGAACCTCAAGTTCATTAGGCACTTTGCTTCCAAGTTATTATAGGAGATGTTTTGCTAAGTAGTTTGCCCTTGCCTTTTGTTTCCATCTTTTTAGCTTTGAGTGCCTGTGCATTTGGCACCAAATGGCCAAACCAGTGCACTGTGGCTCGACTTTCATTATAGCAGCATTAAATGACCTCAAGGCCCCAATTTTTTGTGCTACTGTGCTAACAAATTGTAATCAAAACATATGTGGCTTAAATATAAAACTAGATTGTTTCTTCATCAGATGACAGTTCTGAGCAGCACCAGCTCAGGAAATGGCAGGGTGGGAGTGAGGAATGGGACAATTCTACTCTACTCAATCACTTGGGAACTGTCAGACTGAAAGAGAATCTGTTATCTAAAACATATACCTGAAATTGAAGCTAAGTAATTTGTTGAAAATTATATAGCTTGTTAACGAAGGGTCCAAGATTCTTCATACTTGGTTCTCACTTCAAAGCCCGTGCTCTTTGACCAGATAATGCGAATGCTAATTTTTCCATGCAAGGTCTGAACATAGACTAGAATAAAACTACCACTTCTGCAGACTTTAGATTTTTCTAATAAATGCTTCTTCATTTTCCCAGGGTGATACAATTCTGGAGACTGGAGAAGTAATTCCACCAATGAAAGAATATCCTGATCAACATCACTGATGACTACTTAAAACTTTCAAAGGTTTATGAGCCCAAGTTTGTTCCTATTGTCATATTTACTGAATATACTTCCTGGAAAAGTAACTAATAAAGTTTATTCTCAGAAAAGTATCGTCATATTTCTTATAAAACATTGTACAACTTGCAATTCTTTGAATAATTTTAACAATAAGTAAAACCCAGAAATGTCAAAAAGTAATCTGGGCCTCCACCTACTTTTTCTGGCCATTTTGACTTGAGAAACAGGATGTAGAAAAGTAGTTAGTCACTGATTTTCCCCCCTTACATAGTCTTTACTCCAGTTTTGGTGAGGGTATGCAACAGAGTAAAATATTGCAATAAGAAAATATAAAGACAAATTCCACATTTTTGTTTTAGAGATTAAAAAAAATTTGTAGTTGTAGATGGACAGCATGCTGTTTTGTTTTATTTTTATGTGGTGCTAAGGATGGAACCCAGTGCCTCACATGTGCTAAAAGCAAGAGCTCTGCTACTGAGCTACAAACCCAGCCCCTAGAGTATTTTTAATTAAGAATTTTAGAAACTAGATTGAAAAACTTCTCATTCTATCTCTGTAAGGATGGCCTTAGCCTAAGCAATTCCATTTTAACTTCATTTAAAAAAAACCTAAAGTCCCACCAGGCACCAGCCTACAGAGCCCTCCAATATTGTTGTCAGGCATAGCCTGATAAAGACAAGTCAGTTTCCACAACCCTGATAAAACTAAGTCACTATCATTTGTCTTCACCCTGATAAGAGTCAATTGGATGGGAACCACCAAATTGTATGTCCTGACACTGGAATGAAAAAGTCACTAAGAAACCTGGTATCAGCCGATTGGGACTCAAAAGACGAGCAAAAGCCCCCAAATTTAGTATAAATGATGGAGCAAATGTACAAATATTCCCACATGCCAGAGAGCCTGATGAGGACTCAGACATCCCAACCCTTATCTGCCTGATCTTCTGCATGGGCCTCACTGCGCTCAAATTCTACAGCCACATCTTGACTCTGGTGAGAATGTTGACTTCTCCTTAAGACCCTCTCAACCAGATGTCAGCTTCACCCCAGGAGAAGACTTTAGAGGTTCCTGACCTGATCACTGCAGTCTGAGTGAGTGTACATCTGCTGGACTTAAGGCCTAAGGCTTGAGATTTTAAGCTTAGCATGCAGGGGGAATGTCTTTAATTAAAGTCTGTCATGATTACATATGTTTGCAGTGCTTAGAATTAACTTAGAATCGTTTGCTTTGGTTATATGTCTATTGCAGTACCCATCATTAAAGACTGTCATTTTCTTGATTAAGAATCTATAGAGTGAAATTGAATGATTTGAGTGAATAAAGCATTGAAAAAGGCAGAAGCGCATGGACATTCTTTATTTCTCCCCTCGAATGTAGATGTCGCACTCTTGCCCATCCTGAGAATCTCTGGTCTGACACTCAAAAGCTATAAGATCTATTTGAAAAATTATCCTGTTTGTGCTTATTATAAAAAACTATACAAAAATAAATCTGGGAAGTGTGGATTTTACTTTTAAATCTACATAGGTGTCAGATAAGCATGAAGAAAAGAACTGTATTGCAGAGAATTAAATCCAAAAGAACTACAAGTTTTCATTCATCCCGAAGATTTTGTCTGGGTATTCTTTCCTTAGCTGTCGTTGAGCAGCTACTGTTGAGGCATAGATGACATATCCCCAGGAGAGTAAAACGACTGCAAGCAGCAACTGAAAAAAAAAAAAAAAAAAAAAGAGGAAGTAAAAGCAAAATATTTATATAAATGAGCGTAGTACTCCCGCTCCCGTCAAGTTACCACGTACCAGGTGAAAACGGGAATTATAGTAACAATCTAATAAATGGGAGTTCTAGGCGAGTACACCCAGCAGCTCTTACGTAAGAAGCGGAAGATCGTGTCCTCCAGGAAGAGGCGGAGTCGAGTTGAGGGAGTGAGACGCTCAATTCAGGAATGGGTTTTAGAGTTTCTGAGCGCTGAAGAAATAGGGGGCCTTCCTCCCGCGGGCCCAGGAAGTCAACGCTGTAGGGCCCCGCCAGTCACTGGACCTACCACTGAATAAATCCAGTCCAGGGTGCGGCGACTCACTGGCTTCATGGTAAGGAGGCGACGGTCGTAAGCGGGAATGCGCGGAAGCCTCAGGCTCTAAAGAAAACTCCGGGGCGGTGGCTGCTGGGCGGCAGCAGCCATCTTACAACCGGGCCCGAACGCCCGCCCACGCGCGTCTTGGAGCGCTTCCTAAGGGCCCAGCGGTCCTCTTCCGCCCGGAGTTGGGCTCGGTCACGTGGCCGGTGTTAGCCCGCCTTTCAGCGAGGGGGGGCGTAAAATAAAGGAGAAAAATCTGTTTAAAATTGCTTTCCTGCTGCCAGAGATAGGCATGCCGCAACTGATTTCCTTTACAGATGTAGTGCAGTAGTGACTCAGAAAAATGTGCCATTGTGCGCGTTTAAAAGTTTGAGAAGTAATCCATGTTTTAATGTTACACCGGTGTCTACGCTGAAAGAATTAACGTTTCCCCTTTGTTCCACATAATATAGAAGGTCGTGTGTTGTTCTTTGACACAAACAGAAATACCACCATTTTATTTTATTTAACAGATGAGTTGCTGTCCTCTTTGTTAACTGAACCCTCTGAGATATTGAGAATGCACAAGCTTGTTGATGTAAATGGTATTTCTAAGAAATATGTGGTGTTACCAGGCATAATATACAAACCAATCAACAAGTGTTTGTTGAACGTTTGTTATGAGCTTAGAACCACATCTTGTGTGAGCTGTTAGGCCCAAAGTACCGCAGTTTGGCTCGCGAGACCGAGTCTTAAGTTCAGTTCTAGAATGTTGGGGACGGTGGCTTTTGAGGCCCGAGTGGTAGAATTTGGCAGTGGGCCGCCTTAGCTCAGGCGTTCTTTCACGGTATAGCTTAGATACCATTTTAACAGGATTTTAAGCCAGATTTGGGGGAGTAGGAAAGGGAAAAGCGGTTCTTTGAAAGAAAAACGTTGTTTGGGGAAGAGTTTGGGTAAGTATTTTTCCCCAAACCACAGATCCAGCTCTCTGAAGACTTTTAAGAATGCTGGTTGGGCTGTGGTTGTGGATCTCACTCGAATTCCGGTGTTAACTTCCTATCTGAGCTATCGGAGGTGGAACACTAGTTCCTTTATACATGGTAGAGATCATTAAGTAACTTCTCCCAGAGTTTGGTGGAGTTTGAATGTTATTTAGTTATTGTGCGTTTGGGGTAAGCTGGGAGCGAACATTTATTGTGTGACCCAGTAACCTCGAGTGATTTATCAATCGTTTGACACAGATCTGTGCCTCAGAGGGTCTTGTTGCTCAACCCAGGGGAACTGAGCCAGGGGGGAAGGGCGGTGTCTTGGGCTTAATGCGTTAAACCCCGCCCTCAGTGCCGGCGCTTGTCTACTGCGCATGCGTTACGAAAGCTGCTGCTGTGTTTTGACGCGCCAGGGGTTGGGGGAGTGGGTCTCGCTTTCTGCCCCGCCCCCAAGCTGCTTTTGGTGATGAGCATTTTACGTCACAGGGGTCGCAGCAGCCGCCAGGGTCTCCGCTGTCTCGCGAGGAGGGTGAAGCGCCCCCGCCTACTCCCGCACCGGAGGGTAGGCGGAGAAGTCGCCGGGTACGCCTTCGTGGATCTTGCCGTCACCGACCTAGCCTCCTCCGCCGTGGGGAGCTTGCTTCCAGCGCCGCAGCCGGGCCTGCGCCGGCATCTTCCGAGGTGAGCCAGATCGGGAACAATGAGGCGAGGGGGTCGGAAGTGCTGGGCGAGCTGGCGCTCCCCACTGGAGCGAGGCCCTTGCACGAGGGGTTGCAGCCTCTCTGGGCCTCAGCAGGGTAAAGGGTCCTAGCAGGCGGCTCCTGCTGCGCACCTGTGGATTGGTGCGGGTGGGCGGGTGAGGGTTGCGTTTCCAACTAGCGCTCCCGAGGGGCGCGAGCTTAGCGGTGTACTGGAAAGAGCTTGGACTCTGGGAAAAAACAAACAACCGCTGAGTCTGAATCGTGGCTTTGCCGCTGATAGGGAGTGTGACCTTGGCCAAGTCCCCAAACCGCAGAACCCGTCTGTATAATGGGAATAACTGTTTTAGTTCGTGGTGGTTATGTAATAACACATGATGCTGTGTTCCATCCTCGCCAGCGGCAGTTCTTAACCTAAGGAAACCACTATCAGGGTGACTATTGGAGTTGTCTGTGCAGTGGTACACATTCTGGGCTGGGCTTGTCTGCCTGTGATTTCATCAACAATCCAGTTAGTTGCAGCTTTCCTCATTCGCAGACTAGAAGAGAACAGTGCTGAGATGAGGTGCACAATGACTTCAGAGGAAAAATGAATAGAATTTATAGTAGGTAATATACCTAGTTATTTAAGACAAATTAGAAGCAGCTCCCCAGGACTTAAGCTAATAATGGTGAGGCTTTTTTGTTTTGGAGGGCCTTTGTTTTTATTACATGAAATCCAAACCTCTGCTGTTGGCCACAGACAACCGTGCTTATCTGGAATGAGTGGCTTTAGAGGGGAAAGGTTTCTCAAGCATTTCTTTTTTATTGCTGGAATTGAAATGAAATTTGGTAAGATGTGATCAGTAAATTGTATAATTTTGTATACCCTTTTGAAATTGGTGATAATACAGTTCAGAAAGGTGCAGAGATTTTTTTTTTTTTTTTTTAAGTAACAAGGAGTAAGACTGAGATTGTTTTTAATATTTTGGATGTCTTTCTAGTTCATCTACCTGTGAATCTTATTAAGTATATTATGGTTATTTAATTATTATAGACTGTCCTCTGAGCACTTATCAGTTACCAAAATTAACTTTTATTTTCACATAACATAGGGGAACAGTGTTGGGTTCTTTCTGTGTATCAAGAGTTGTGCTGAGTGTTACAGGAAATATATCCCTTCACACAACCACCTTTTCAAGTGAGTTTGAAAAGGTTGCTGTTACTTTGCAATTTTAGAATTCAGAAATTAGGTTTATAATTTAGGTTTTGAGAAATAACTTCCTCCATGTCATACAAGTAAGAAGTGGTTTGATTTTCAACATTGACAAGTGCTTTAGGATTAACATTAATTATTCAAATGTAATCAGATTAGTAAGTTTTATATCCAGTGATAATTTAAGGAATGCTATAGAAGATGACTTTATAGAAAGTCTGGCTTTATAAAATATAATTTTGCAGAGCAGTTTTATTTCATTTTCATAGCACATCTATGACCTTCTTTAGATTCTAGCCTCCCAATTCTTTTTTTCGTCCATCTGTTTTCCTTAGATACCTCATGCCTGTTGATTTACCTTTAATTCCCCCAAATTATAACATAAAGAGTTCTTATCCTTGTTAGAACCAGCAAACAGATTTAAAGATTTGATAAAGGAAAGGTTTGGCTTAATCAGTTCATCCTCAAGATGAGAACTTTATTTTGGATTTGGGAGGCTCTTAAAGAAGTGGGATCAGAAGAACTGATTAATCTCCTCTATGGGGAAATTAATTTGCATTCCTAATTCATAAAGTGCTAGAGAAACCTTTACACAGGTGTTTTCTCAAACCTGCAGCCTTAAGTGTGTTTACCATTAGGTCCATCTTTACAACCTAAATCTAGAATCTCTCCTGCAAACTTCCCAGTGTCCTAGCCATACCAATTTTATGCCTTAATTTTATTTTTTAAACACCTTTGTTGAGCTATAACTTATATTCCATCATAAGCTTTGCCTATTCATGTAATTCAGTAGTTTTTAGTTTATTTAGAGTTGTGCAACTATCATCATAATCTAATTGTAGAAAGTTTTCACTATGCCAGAAAGAAACCTCATTACCAGCATTCATTCACTTTAGATTTCCCTATTCTGGACATTTCATATAAATGATATCATACCATATGTGGGTTTTTTGTGGCTGATTATTTTTTTCATTTGATATAAAAATAAGGTTCATCCATTTTGTAACATGTATCAGTATTTCTTTTTATTGCCAAATAATCCATTTTATATATAAACCACATTTTATTATTCTAATCCAGTTGATGGACATTTTACTTTCCACCTGTGAACTATTATGACTAAGGCTGCTGTGAATATTTACATGCAAATATTTGGACATGTGTTATTTATCTTGGGTAAATATCTAGATGTGGAGTTCTTGGGTCATATATGATTTGTTTTAACAAACACTTTAACTTTCGTGATAATTTGGAAGAGGTAATTATCAGCAGATTTGAAATGATTCAAATATGACATATTTGATCTGCTTCATTTATCATAATTTCTGACAAATACCATTCCTTGTAGCTAAAGATATTCCTGTGTAGAAATACGAGAACTCTAAGTTACTCTTTTTACTTATGGTGGAGGATGTTGTTGGTCTGTCTTTAGTCATATGCTGTCAGAGTGGTTGATAGGCTTATAAAAACTAGAGAAGAAAAGACTTAAGATTTTATTTTTTAAAAAATCAAACTTTTAAAGATTTTGTTCTATTTGAATTTCAAGTTTAATATTAATGTCCAGGCTGGGGTTGTGACTCAATGGTAGAGTACTTGCCTAGTAGATGCCAGGCACTAGGTTCGATCCTCAGCACCACATAAAGAAAATAAATAACTAAAATAAAGGTATTGTGTCCAACTACAACTAAAAATTAATAAAAAATAATGTCCTTTAATTTATTCTGGGTACTATATTTTTTGGAGGGTGGAGGGTAACAAGGGATTGAACTCAGTGGCACTCAACCACTGAGCTAATTTCTCCAGCTCTTTTTTGTATTTTATTTAGAGGCAGGGTCTCATTCAGTTGCTTTAGCACCTTGCTTTTGTTTGCTGGCTTTGAATTCGGGATCCTCCTTGATCCTCCTGCCTCAGCCTCCGGAGCCACTGGGATTAAAGGCTTGCCCCACCCTCCCAGCCAGGGTAGCAGTTTTTATGTGAACAAGAAATGTTCAGTAAATACTAAAATTCTACCCTCCAAAGAAACAAATTAAGATAAAATGTATTGATTAGAAATTCACCAGCCTTTTTTTCCAAATATAATAATCCCCTTACCCAGAGGGTAAAATTAAAATATAGAGTTAATGTGAATTTCTTTGTTTTACAGAACTAGTTTTAGGTGAAACCTGGTCTTTAGTCCAGGTCATCTGATAACCCCTTCAGTTCCCTTCCTATTTTTGCCTATTCCTTCCCTCTAAGCCATACACACTATCCCTGGATCCTGCATGTTTTTATGCCC